CAGTCTATAGATCAACTAAGCTTATGAAAACTGTTATTTCCCTTAAACCTACATATGTCACAAAAAAACATCATGACTGATCAAAGATGCCCCTTGTCTCACTTCTCTAAAGTTTACAGGAATTAAAAGTCTTCAAATATTTTCAGAAGGAGAAAAAAAATGCTAATTGTAATATCACTCTAAGAGAACTTCCATAATTTTTGGTTCCTAGAATTAGGTGTGCCTTGACAATCAAGCTTAAGGGGATAAAGTACATGTTCTATGAATAAGAATTTACCTTTAAACCATCACAAATATGGGACTAATACCTGACGGGTGTTAAAATCAGCTGGAGATACCCCAAAGGTACTTATTTTTTCTGTCTGGTACTGTTCACTGTACTTTATCCTCCTGATTTTTAAAGTACAGATTCTTGAATCTTAATTGCAATGTAAAAAGCAGTTTTCAAAATTTAAGAATTTTTAAATCAGTTTATTCAGTAATAATTTCTGAATTATTCCTGATCGACTCAGCCTATAAACTTTACAGAATTCTTCAGCTGTCTTTTTTTTCACCTCCTGCCCACCAATCATATACAGAACTGCCAAAGCAAACTATACCAAACGATGCACCCTCCCAATGAAACGCCCTGGCGTGGAATTTCATTGGAACCTCACATTTCAAACAGCAGATGTTGTCCTGAAGTGGCATGGCCTGGTCCATGCTCCATTCAGGGTTCCATACATCTTAGTTCATTTAGGCTTCATTCAAAAAAAAGTCTCTTGAGACTGAATTATTCTTTTTCAAAATATCACAAGATGAAATCAAGAATATGGTTTCACTGCCTCATTCCTTCATTACAGCAATTGGAGAGTTAGTTTTAATCTGAATTGTGAGTTTTCAGTCTCTTTTTGTAAAAACCCAGGTAACATACAACTCTGGAGTATTTTTAGGTGTTTTACGCCATTCTCCCCCAAAAGTCCAGGGAGCTAAAGCTGCAAATTTCCACTAGAAAATTAACAAATAGGATGTTACACTGGCTTCTGAAAGTACTTCCAGAATCAGATTTAAATAAAATGACACTTAGCTCCTATTATTTAATTTCATTCTATAGCATAAAAATTACCCAAATATACAATCAGATGTTTAAAACATACTCCTGTGTGTCTCTCTCTCTCTCTCACACACACACACACACACACACATCACCTCACCTCCCTTCCAAAAAAAAGTAAAGAAAAGCCCACTAGCTATTTGAGGCCAGCAATCAATCCAATTTACTGCAGGTACAATTTATATGTACACTGCATGCCACAACAAAACCACAGTGTGATGCCAACGGGGCCCTTAAGAAAGTTTTCCCCTAAATCTCTGGAAAGAAGCTTTAAAAGAAAGCAAGGATTACAGTCAGCTAGAAGGTAGGGAGGGGACTTACCTCAAACCCAGCCAAGCGGAAATCAGAGCAGTAATTCTACAAGTCGACAGAGTACACTTTCAAAGCTATAATGGTGTGAAGAAGTGCTGGGCACCATGGCCTGAAGGCACCGCTAATACACTGATGACTGATGGCCGGCCCGGGCAGACAATGAATTTGGGGCTTGAAAACTAACAGAAACCATGCAGCACTTTGACAAATGGGCTTTCACAATTTCATTCATTGAATAACCTTTAAGCACAAAATTGGCTCGAGTTCTCCTGGGAATTATGTGACAGGTCGTTGGACGATGATGTAAGTATTTTCTTTTTTAATTATGACTTGTATGCAAAATGCAAAAGCACCCTAATATGAGGACACAACCCTAAATGCTGCAGATGCATGTGTGGAGCTCCACACAATATTGCCTTTCAGGAGGGGGGCTGGAATGTTCCAATGCCACCTTATTAACTAGGTAATGGCCTGTTCATTCAGTTTCTTTAGAGAGCCATAGATTTTCTGGGACATTTTGTCGGATTGAAATATACACACATGGAACAAAAAACACTTTCACAGTAAAAAAAAAAAAAAACAACAACCTGAAAGTGGTCATGAGTAGCTAAGTGTGGCACTAAAATATAGTGCATTAGAATTACAAGTAGAAAAAGTCTAATTTTAAGGGGTGAGGCAAAGGAAAAGTGCCTTGAAACAATTGAGACACCACATAAAGTTTGCAGTCGAATACACTTGCCAACACAGTTAACATTGGATTTCTTTCCAACGGCTTCCCTCCCTTTCTTTCCCTGTAAAACTAGCCCTTCGATGGAAAAATCATAATTTTGGCAATTCCGAAAGAGAGCATGAAATACCTAGTGTCTCTAAATTAACAAGTACCACTTACTCCAGGCAGCATTGCCTTTAACAGCTTCTAAAAACTTAAGAAAAGGATCTTAAAACAGGAAGATTAGTGAGCTCATAAAACTGTTGTTGGAGCCAGGAACACATAGCATATTTAATCTGCAAACTGTGAGAGTCTACAGTGATTTCAGCAAGATCTGAGGCATGCCCTCAAGGTTTGCTGGGATCTGGGATTAGGGGGTTGATAAGAACCTCTACGGCCCATGGACATGTTTTTCTTCTGCAGTTAAACATAAATGCACAGAGACATTTGACTGCTGCTTGGCATTACTGCTCAAGTTATAAAAAAGCTTTGCAGCTCCTTTTGCTGTCAATATATCAAAGTTTAAAAAAAAATCATCAAAGTGTGAAATTTCATTTAAAGTCTTCGCCAGTCTACAGCTCTATTTCACAGGCCCATCAAATAAAAGTAGAGATGAAAAATACGCTGAAAGTACTTGAAAAAAGTTTGTGGCATTCTCCCTGCCCTGGTGTTGTTTACTCTGTCTCCCTTTATTTGCTTTGAAACTAGAACAAATCAATTTTCATCTGGAAAAATGACAACAGGAAGTGAAGGGCAGCATCTTCTAGTAGCCTTTCATGAAAAGACAACCTGAAGTCATTATTAGAGTAGAATCTTATACTTACCAAATGAAATACACACACACACACACAATTTCTTCTACAGTCATGTCAGCATTTTAATTGACTCTCATGATATAAGTTGGCAGAAAATTTCTTGAATCTTCCAAAACAGATCAGACTGACTACAGAATACGGATGCCAGCAAAACTAAAACCTCCTTCAAAGAATTTTTTTAGCTGGGGATTTACAACAATTGCATAAAGAAGAAAAGGCTGACTTTTAAGATAATCTACTATAGTCTAAAAGCATTAACATTCCATTACTAAGGTTTTCTTGAGGATTTCATGACTCACTGATCCACTTTTCCTTCAAGACTGGTTTTTCTTAGTACACTACTGTCTCCATGTAAGTGAGTGCATGGAACAATGATCATTAAATTGTTTTCTTTCATAAATTCCCAAACCTTATTCTCCTAAAAAGGGGGCAAGGATAAACAGGACAGCTCACATAGATGGAAGGACCCCTAAATGGCGAAGCACAGAGGAAGTCTGAAATCCTTACAGCATGCAGGTAATTAAGAAAACTGGCCAAGAAACAAAGGAAAGTTCAACTTTTAGGCTAGGGCATCAAACTGATAAATTAATGACTTTCATTAAATAAGTAATGAAATAATTCACCAGAGTCATTTTTTATCAGTACTGAATTTTCTCATTTCTGTCTGTAGTCCTTTGCAAATTCAACATACTGGAAAAGTGTATTTATGGAAAAGTGTATTTATGTCATGATCCAAGCAAGGAATCCAAACATGTTAATGGTACCGAGAATTGGTAAGTATCTGAGTTGAACCTACTAGCCTATTCATACAATATAGTCTATACCTTTTAAAGTGCTTCTGTGTGTGTGAAATTTCACTAGACACCTCTCACATTGGACTCATTCAGGCATCTGAAACCAAAGCTTTCCTAGGCTGACTTTAAGAATTATATACCCTGAAAGGCTCTCCCGTTAGGCAGGCAGTTTCTGATTAAATAGCTTTTAGTGTAAAATAAACCTCTTCTCTCTATAAGTATGCTATTACAACTAATTTAAATGTTAGTTCATGTTTGTTTTAGGTCTGACTACAGGCCAACTGGCCAAAGTGTTTGTGTACCAGGTTAAGACCGATATTTCCTAACATAAACAAATTCTTTAGATACTTCACACAGTTTACATTGTTAAGGCCAATCACCGCTACTTCAATATAGCCCCTCAAATGAAATACTGTTCTGCTTTAGAAAGATAGAGCGATTTTGGGGTTATTTCACTACTTTGAAACATAGCATTTTCCTCCTTCAAAATAATCTTGACACATGTAATTAAGAAACTGTCAGACTATTATTAATTTTTAATTTAAAACCTAAATGAAATAATTACAGGAATCAATCAATAAGGCACCTATTCAAATTACAGAGCAATTACATAAATACTCAAAATTAATACTTTAGGCCAAAATTAATACTTTAAGCCAATCCTTAAGATTTCTCTCTAGAATATGCTAAGACACCAAACAACACAAAAAGTGTAACATAGGGACCATGAATAGTTCCTGCCTTAAATAGAAATGGCCATGGCAGAGGGCTCCACCAGCTGTGCCCAAGGCACTCAAGCTGGAACTCTTTTTCAAAGTTCATTCATTTCCACCAGACGCATATTTCAGGGATATCAAAAATCTCCCAATTCTGTCCAAAATCATATTGGGAGGCAAAAGCTTAATTACTGCGCACTTCCAGCAAAGGGCTCTGGGGAGGAAAAGGGAGAAAGATAAAGGAGCGAAGAAAGGTGTTTTCTAGAACCAGTCTGGCTAATGCCACTGGCCAGGTCTCTCTGCACAGCGACCGACCCTCCATACCTCCAACTAACGGGGCTCTTTTACTTGGAGATGCGGACGGTCCATCATTTCAAACTGAAATGGCAGCTGGAAAATGTGGAACAGCTGGCAGAGAGCTGGGAGAAAATGTTTTACATAAATATATGTACATATAAACTGGCAGAGGGCCACGAGCGCTGTACCCAAGGCCAGAATCTACTCGGGACTGCACACCACGGAGATGAGACCCCGGGGCGGGCGGGAGAAGCCGCCCGGAGGATGCCTCCCGCACAGTCTGTTTACACGAGGTCAGCCAGGGAAGCGTGGGTCCAGCCGCTCTCCGGACGGCATCTCCTGAAGGAGGTGCCATCGCCGACTCAAGCACAAAGTTCAGGGGAGGATAAAAGGCCTGGCTGTGCGGTGGTGCTTCGGCATCTGGCAATCTGCTTAGAAGTCACTTCACAAACTCCCTAAGTTTGGGGTAAATATTTACTCCTTCTCCACCTCCTCCCGCCCATGTGCCCTCTGCAACTCCAGAAAGTAACTGTCCCCTGCAGAGTGATTCATACCCAACTCTGCTCGCTGAAAATGCGACCTCTTAAATGATCATTGCAGGCGCCACGGTTACCCATAGCACCACCGTCACGACCACACCACCACCCCCGCACCACTCACTCCCTGCAGCTTCTAATGCTTTTATTTCTTTTGTTGTCTTTTCCCTTACTTTCTTTCTTTCTTTTTTTTTTTAAGGCTGTCTCTGGAAAGGAAAAGAAATGAAAGATTCCCAAATCATCCACAGATGGTACAACTTTCACTTTTCCTCTCTTAGGACGGAGGCGCGCCTCTTTCTCCCGGCTCACACCCCACCCCCGATGGGAAGCGCAGGCTGGAGGAAGCCCCCGCCGCGGCGCTCCTCGCGCGCACCCACCTCACCGCCCGCCGCCTTCCGCGCCCGGCCCCCCAGAGGCATGCAACAGTGCGAAGGCGGGCGCCCGAGCCCCGGGGGCTAGCGGAGCTCCTTTCGGCCCTCGGGAAAGGGAGTCGGGGCGAGGGGTGCAGTCGCCGTGACTGCTCCAAACTTCGTCCCCAGACCTCCCAACTCCAGGAGGTGAAATTCTCCAGCCCGTGTCCGGATGGCCGCCAGGTCAGACCCTGCGAAGGGGAGCATCACGCAGGAGGGGGCGAAGGGAAGGCTGGTTCCGACGCCTTACCGGCGGCTCCCGAAATCTGGGCGCCTTTTGACAGCCATTTTCAGTTCCTCCCGCGCCCCCCGTCGGGGACTCCCCTCTCGACCCAGGGGCGCGGGCGCGGCCGCAGGAGCTGGCTCCCCGGTGCGGGGCCCCGCGAAACAAAGAACTTCGGGCGGGACGTACCTGCGGCGGCGGCGGCTGTCAAGTCCCCGAACTTCCCATAGACCCGCGTCCCGGGCGCGGGCTGGCGGCTCCGGGTTCCGCGCGACCGCGGGCCGCTCGGGCTAAGGCAAGAGGCCGGGCAGGGCGCGGGGGTCCCCGGCGACCGGCATGGTGCGGCGCGGGCGGCCGCGGGGCGCGCGGGGAGGGCGGGCCGGGGCGGCGAGGGGGCGCGAGGGCGAGTGTGCGAGCGCGCCGGCGGCGGCGGCGGTGGCGGTGGCGGTGGCGTTGCCCCTGCCCGCTCCCGCCCGCTCGTGCGACTCCGGCATCGGTTTCAGGGATCGTGTAATCCGATCCCTTCTGACTCACAGGCCCTGAGTGACAGTTCTGATTTGGTTCACCCGCGGGAGGGAGGGGAAAGAGAAAGAAAGAAAGCCCCCACAGCGCTCCCCTCCTCACATGCAACCGACTTTCTGGAAGAAGGTCCCATCCCGGCCTGGAAACCCGCGCGGGCTTGGAGGCTCCCCCAGTCCCTACCCGCGCAGCCTGCGCTACTCACGGGTGGAAAAGTTGTCCCTCGGCTCTGCTCTTCCCTCCCTCGCGCTCCCTCCTTCCCTCCTCTCCTCCTCTTCCTCCTCCTCCCCGCGCTCCTCCTCCCCCAAGTTTTAACAGATGTTGCCGGACTCTCGGCTCGCGCTCGCGCTCCCTCTTCCCCCGCCCCCGCCCCCGCCCCGTCCCTTTTCTTTCTGCCACTCTCCGGCGGCGCGGTGGGGACGCGCCGAGCAGCAGGACGCCTGCCACCGCAGGGGGCGAAGTTGGGAAAACTTGGGAGGAGTGCGGCTCGCCTTACTTTTGCTTTCTCGCTCCTTCCTGGCCGCGCCGGGGGCCCGCGCTTCCCCACCCGCCGGGTCCCTGCTCCCGCGGCGGGTCCCAGCGGCGACGCGGGCGGCGGCGCGGAGGCGGCCCGGGCCGGGGTCGGGGGCTGCGGGGGGAGCCCGGGCGCCCCGAGCCACGCGCGCGCTCCCTCCCCGCCCTCCGCCTCCTCCGCCCCTCCCCGATCCTCTCACAGACACATTCAAGCCTGCTCCTCCTCTTCCCCCTCCTTGACCCCGCGCCCGCTCCGCGCGCCGAGGCCCCACCCACCCGGCTAGGGGAAGGGGGCCCTGGCGTGATGTCACCGCCGCCCTCCCCGCCCGCGCTCGCCCCGCCGCCCCCCACCCCAGCGCCCTGCGCACCCGGGCAGCTAGTCCCAGCTCCCGTCGCCTTCCGCCCCGCCTCTCCGCTCCGCTTTCTCCCGGCTCCCAGTTTGGGCTCCCTTTTTTCTTCTTTTAAGGCCTCTCTGATCACAGCCACCCCCCTTCCCTCCTAGATTCTCCCTCTTCTTGTACATTTCCCCAGGCCAACCCTGAAACTCCCCCTCTCGCCTGAGGATGCTTTTGAAAGTTCAGATTTTTCCTCCCCACCGACTTCTCTGCCCTCGGAGCCAAATCTGGCAAGTGGGAGCTCCCCACTACGCAGCCTGCTATTCCCATGGGTTACTTTAGTAAGGACACAAAAACAAAGACCCCAGGCTTGGAGCCTGGACTCCAACGTGGTTTTCCCTGAGCTACCAGAGTGTCTCTGTCCCTGTTTGATTTTCAGCGGCCCGTACCAGAAAAAAATTATTTCCCTCCCTTCTCAGCCAGCCAGCCTGCATCCATCTGTTCCCTTCCAGCCTGGACCTGTAACCCAAACAAGGAGTTCCCAAGGGAGGAACAACGAAAGGAAAAGAAAACTCTGGTGGCATGCCCGAATCCATTCTTCCTGGGGTCATCTGAGATTCCGCCCACCCTCCGGTGGCCTCCCGCAGCGCCTCGGAGCTCAGGGTGCACTAGTGTTGACTCCTAGAGCGTCTTGACTGAAGGAAAAGCGTAGGTGGATGAATGATTAGCTATTATGATCTGAAGAGCATTCTGAGATTCAAATGCTTAGCTGGAGAATTTTTTAAGGGAATTAATGGTGGTGTTCACTATTTGTTTCCTGGGACTTGTTGCTTATCTCAAAGATATCACAAAAGCAGACCCTGACTTAAGCTTTTATGGTAGAAGCAGTGGAGATAAAGGAGGACTGGAGGTCCTTATGAGCCATTTATTTTACAGTTTCTCTCTGTACTTCACGTGTTTGGGGGGAAAAAAAATCTGACTCATACAGAGCCGTACGTAGCCTTAGGATTCAAGGGTGGTGGTCCCAGCTTCCCCTTACTAACTGGCCTTAGGCCCAGGAGGATTCTCTGAGCATCCACAGGCTCTGGGCTCATCTGCAGAATGGTGATAGGAAAACCAGGCCAGTCCGCATACCTCCCAGGATTTGTAAGGGCTTCCAAAGAGATAATGCATGTGAAAGTGGAAATGGATACAAATGCCTAAGAATTATATTATGCTCTTTCCCACATATACTTCAGCATCCGTCACAATATTTTTTTGTATTCAAGTACTGCTTCTGTCTCAATAACATGAATGCAAATAATACATCCTGATAGCCTCTGTTCACCCAATGGCAAAAAAAAAGTAATAACTAAAAAGAACGACAGCCAATAAATCAACAACTGGAATAAACTAGATATTTTGACTCTTACTTAAAAGTCTAGCACATTTTGGATCTGAAGATCTTGATTCTCCATTTTAAAAAGATGAGAACAAAGGAAAAGCAGCTCATCGTTCTCCTTATGCCCATCAGAATAGTTAAAAACAAGAGGAGAAATAAAGCTGGTGTCTCCTGTGTGTCCCTGTGTCCTCACCTTAGGTTCTTGGCAGAAATGAAGAGTTTTCTGCCTTAGTGATAAACACAGATGTGAGTGGGAACATTTTGCAGAAATAGGAGAGGAAATATAAAACAAGGGTTACCCTCATGTGAGTTAAATAATGCCATAACACAATGACTTTCAGCCTATATTAACAGAAAAATTCTTTATCCAAAGGAAATCTTGTGTGGAATCCCTGCATATAAAGGAAAGCTATCTCTAGTTGCTGTTGGGTGGGGTCTCAAAGCCCAGCCCCTTAGCCTTTCTTTTGTCACTCACTCCCTTTTTTTAAGAGCCCTGAGACATCTCTCACAACCTTAAAGTCACCCTGAAACTCAATAATGTAACCTCCTTGTAATGGTAAACAGGCACTTACAGATTTAAGGTTCTAAGGTCACCCTTCTTATAGACAGAGTTCCCTCAGTTCCCTTTTCAGATGCAAAAAGTCCTAGACATTTTAACATAGTGTGTCCTCAAAATACTTAAGCTTATAAGACAGTTCTTGTTGGTTTGTTTGCTTGTCTTTTGGCAACAAATTGGATGAAGTAGGGAACTCGAAGATATTCGTATGAGTCTTCTAGGGCTGCCATAACGAAGGACCACAAACTGGGTGGCTTAAAGCATCAAATATCCATTGTCTCTGGAGAGGGAAATGGCAACCCACTTCAGAGAAATCCCATGGATAGAGGAACTTGGCAGGCTACAGTCCATGGGGTCGCAGAAGAGCCAGATACAACTTAGAACCTAAGCAACATCCATTGTCTTACAGTTCTAGAGGCTAGAAGTCCAAAGTCAATGTCTCAGCAAGGCCATGCTCCCTCTGAAACCTCTAGGGGAAGATCTTTCCTTGCATCTTCCTAGTTTCTGGTGGTTATCTGTCAACCCATGGTGTTTCTTGCTTTGCCACTGCTTCACTCTAACGTCTGACTCTATAGTCATATAGCATCCTCTCTTTGTTGTTTTTTTTTTTTTTCTCTCTCTCCCTCTCCTCTTCCTAAGGGCACCAGTCATAGAAGGGAGCAACAGAGGATGAGATGGTTGGATGGCATCATCAACTCAATGGACATGAATTTGAGCAAACTCCAGGAGATGGTGAAGGACAGGGAAGCCTGGCATGCTGCAGTCCATGGGGTCACAAAGAATCGGACACGACTTAGCGACTGAACAACAACTCCAATATGACCTCATCTAAACTGAGTACATCAGCAACAACCCCATTTCCAAATCAGATCACATTCTGAGACTCCAAGAGTTAGAGCTATAATATATCTTTTGGAGGGGGGGAGGGGGAGACACAATTCAATTCATGAAAATACTGAAAACAACAAAGCAGGATAAAGGATCTGCAACTGACAGGACAAAGAATGAAACTGAGAACGAACTTTGCATGCTCCTCTGGTTTTTCTGTTGTTGCTTTTTGTTTTGTTTTGTTTTGCTGCGGTGGGTTTTCGTTGCTGTGTGTGGACTTTCTCTAGTTGCAGACCATGGGCTTCTCATTGCAGTGACCTCCTGTTGCAGAGCACTGGCTCAGTGGCTGCAGCCCTCAGGCTTAGTTGCCCGGCAGCAGGTGCCCCCGGACCAGGGATCGAACCCAGGTCCCCTGCATTGGCAGGCGGATTCCTAACCACTGAGCCACCAAGGAAGTCTCCTCTGTATTTTTTTGCCCTGTCACGTGTGCTTATTCTTAATGACTGTGCTTGCTCTCACTGCTACAGCTCTTCCATCTCTCTTCACGGTAAGCCCCCAATTAATTATTGGGAAATTCCAAGTACAAGTTCATATGCACTGATAAGCTCCCAGCTGCACATGACAAAATTCCAACTCAAATTGGCTTAAGTTAAAGGGGAGGTGGGTGTTTTGTTGACTGAAAAGTCCAGTAGTATGTGGGTAGAGTTCAAGTAAGGCAGGACTTAGAGGCACAAACAATGTCAGCTGAGTCCTATTTTCCATCTTTCAGCTAGGCTTTACGCACGTTTCATGATACAGGGTTTTGTTTTTGGGGGTTTTTTAGGCTACCAAAGGCAGTGGCCAGAGGCAGTTGCATGCCAGATAAACAGCACGAGTCCTCTATAAAGCCCAACATGATAGCCTCCATATTCTTCCTCCTTTCCTGTAAATGTGAGACTGTCACCTTTCACCCTGCTCATCTTCTGTATATGCAGGACTCTCACCTCTGCTTCAGTTGCCCAATGTAGGGCTCCCTACTGGGAGATGATGCTTTCAGGACACCATCTTCTGGGGCATCCTCAGTACTCTGAAGTCAGTACATCCCATATCTGTGTGAGGAGAAGGATTTTTCTTGGTCTTTAAAGTTATACTTGATCACAAGGCTCTTTATATTTTGTCCTCATATGTGAATATCCTAGACTTCCTTGGTGGCTCAGTAGTAGAGAATTTGCCTGCCATGGGAAGATCCCCTGCAGAAGGAAGTGGCAACCCACTCAAGTATTTTTGCCTGAGAAATTCCATGGACAGAGGAGACTGGCAGGCTACAGTCCATGGGGTTGCAAAAGAGCCGGATACAACTTAGCCACTGAACAACAACAACAACGTGAAGATCCTACCAATTTCCTTTTCTGAAAATAGCTCAAGGATTCATACCTTTTTCATCCCCAGACTCAAGATAATAGATTCTCATAATGAAAGTGCAACCCTTTGCCTCCATATCCTCATGTGCATGCATTCACCCATATATCCATCCATCCATCCATCCATCCATCCATCCACCTACCCACCTACCGACTCATTCACCAGTGTTGGTTTACTGTTGTCCCAAGCCTATCTGCCACATACTGTCTACACTTATGGTGAGTTATTTCCCAGGAGGCTTCTCAGTCTAGCATGCAAATAGACTCCTTGCAGACAACATAACGCATCCATCCAACATTTCCAAATGTTTCTGAATTCAGTAGAGAACACAGCCTAACGCTCAAACTAGGATCTTTAACATCTGTCTGTCTTTTAGATGTTTGTAGGTGCCAGTTAAGGATTCTCACCACTTTGAAAAATGGTGGGAATGGAAATACTATACGGGCTGCATTTGAAAACCAGACTGCAAAGACAGTAAGTGTTTTTCTATCCAACTATGCTCCCCTCAACTGACCTACCATGCCCCACCCCCGCACACACACACTCCAAGTGGAAGCAGATGGAAAAGGCAGACCTCCCTCCCAACTAGGAAGCTCTGACTTGGGCAATCTCATGTGAGTTTGAGGAGAGGGGAAACTTGGCCCCTGGAAGGAGGCAAAGAGAGAGAGCAAGAATCAGAGTTTTCGATCCCAAGGTCACCCAACTCATCATTCTCTCTCCCTCCCCTTTCCTCCTCTGTCACCTAGTTTCCTAAAGTGCTCTCCTCTGGATTCTCCCTCAGGGCCATGACAGCCGATTCCTAGACTGAACAGATTTGATGGCCTAAGGACAACTTTGACCCCTTTGGGTTTCCTGCTGCCTCCTTGAATTTTCTGGACATCATGTTTCTGCATGCCCTGCACCTACCAGTGTGTGTGTGTTGGGTGGGGGGAAGTACTGAGGGTCTAGGCAGACCCACCAGCCACACTCATGTCCCAGGAGAGCCCCAGGGAAGGAAACCCTCCCCGAGTTGGCCCAGAGTGGACAGCCCGAGCTTCCCCACGCTGACTGGCCACTTGCCAAGAGGGAGAATGTTGTAAAGTGCATCACACAGGTGCCCTCTGGAGGGTCTCTCACTCAGCACCCTCATAGCTTATTCTTGCTTCTTCTTGGAACATTGGGATTATAAATGTAACCCAGATGTGGGCTGCGTCCCTCTTCACCTTGGAGATGTTGCTATAATTGGCTTGGACCTCAGCCAATACCACAAGTTGGAAAGACCTAAAGCCCTCCATTTGGATCTCAACAAGTTCAGAGACCCCCTGTGGATGCTGCCTGACACCACCCCTTACTCCATCCTCAAACCCCTGCCCGATCCACAGGAAACCACCCACAGCAGGCAAGGGGTGAGATTGTAGATTTCACTGATGCTTTGGGTAGCTCAGGGGTGAGTTTTTCTCCCTCCTTCTCTTTCAAAAATAAAACAAGTTTTTCTCTGCCTCAAACAGAGCAGTTTAGCAACCAGCATCTGTTTCTTGAAGTCTCATCTTCCTTTCCTAGGAGCATATTCACGTGATACCCAGATTTCACTTGCCTTTTCCATTTCTTTGCCCAGGATCTGCTCTGCTACACTTTGTCTTCAGCTCCAATCTACCTGGCAGCAAAGCTCAGGACTTTTTTTTTTTTTTTTTTTCAGCTGCACCAAGCCATATGTGGACTCTTAGTTCCTCAACCAGGAATTGAACCCACACCCTCTGCATTAGAAGCTCAGAGTCTTAACCACTGGACCACCAGGGAAGTCCTGCCCAGCACTTTTTGAGTTTCCATAAAGTTAAGGGAACAAGCAGTGGCCCATGGGACACATTGTCTGTCAACATCTATTATTTACTGTGCATGAGTACATTTTGTCCTGGACTCTTCATTTTGCCACAGCCCCCACACCTCCCCCATTGCCTTATAAACTTGCAGCTACACACGTTTGCATCATCTGTCTCATTCCTGAAAACATTTTGAATTTGCTGCTTTCTGCCCTTAAATAATTCACTGACACAAATTGTGGGTTTTACTGAATCTTTTTATAAACAGGCTGCAAAGGAGGGGCTGCAACATCAAACATATCATAGAAAATACCTCCAACATTTTCCTCTAAACTTTCTGTCCTTCATTTGTCTCTGACTGTACCCCTACTATATTATTTTATCTTCTCCTGTTCAGTGCCCAGTCCCACCAATTTCCCTTTTCTTAGAACAATCCACTTCTGCACTTCTAAGTGTGATGTCCTGAGAGATTCCAGGATCCATCTCTCTTAGAAAGTGGTTTAAGACATCCATACAGCTCAGGAGCTCATCTTACCATTATAGTCTTTCACCCTAATCTTTTACATACACATCCAGCAACTTGTCAGTGTATTTTCCTCCAAACAAGTATGAGAAGTTCTATGAGGAGGAGTTTTGGTGAAAAACAGTTTCTGTATTTGCTCCATAAGAAACTAAGAAAATCAAGACCACACACCTGGGAATGTAATAAAGAATTGGGATACTTCAAGGAAAGATGAGAAGCAGTGGTCATATGCTTGGAAAGTATTGTACTTGTAGAAAGAGGGACCTCCCCCACCTCAATAACTGTGGGGTTCAGAGGAGGAGCTCTGTGATCAAAGGGAGAGGTTAACATGAGTTGATGATGGGGACTTCCCCAGTGGTCCAGTGGCTGAGACTCTGTGCTTGCAATGCAGGGGGCCCGGGTTCCATCCCTGGTCAGGGAACTAGATCCTACATGCCACAACTAAAGACCCCGCATGCAGCAACAAAGACCCGACACAACCAAATAAATTAATCAAATAAATATTCCTAAAAAACCATGAGTGGTGATAGAAGAAGAATGGGATCTGACCCCCCACACAGCAGCGAGGTCAGCCAGGAGCAGAAGAACTGTTGTGGTGGTGCAGTCGTTAAGATGGATCCTACTCTTGCGACCACCAGGCTTCTCTGTCCATGAAATTCTCCAGTCAAGAACACTGAAGTGGTTTGCCCTTTCCTTCTCCAGGGGATCTTCCCTAATCAGAGATCAAACCCATACACTGCAGGCAGACTCTTTACCAACTGAGCTAGCAGAACTGTTAGAGCAGAGCTTATGGAGGCCAAGGGAGAACGTTCATGAACCAGAACGAGTGTGGGGCCTCAGGGAGCCTACCAGGGGGTGGGAAGAATGTAGAAGCTCTCTGTCCCATTATCCCAAAAGCTGAGAGCTCAGAGCCAGAGATGACTTTTATACCTTTGTTATTATAACTCCACTTTCACTGGTTCTTCCAGGGTCCATCGTGGCTGAGGAGGAAAGCACAGTTCTATACAGAAGGTAGAAGGTAGGACTGTCTCTCTCTCTGCTCATTTCTCTCTCTCTCTTTATCTCTCTCTCCATCTCTTTTTCTGCCTATGCATAACCGAAACATATTGTTTGGCTTTCTATAATTAAAACTAACAGTCTCACTTCTTTGGGGCTTTCCCATTAGTCAGAAGCAGACAAGACAGAACAGACTTGGATGTAAATCCACCATCACTAGCTTTGTAACTTTGCCAAGTCAACTCACTCAGTTTGCCCATCTGTAGATTGGAAACAGTGATATTTATCTCCCAGAGTTTTTGTGAGAAGGAAATGAGATGGTGGATTATAAAGGGCTGGGCCTTTTGTCTGGATTAAGAAATGCCCAGAAAAGCAAATTTCCTTTGTTCCTATTTTTTATGCCAGCTGCATGTTACTAGTCACAGCTTTTTCACACTCAGTAAGGAAGACACTTGAGAGGTAGAAGTTTAAGTCTCTGTTCTACCTAACCTATAAAAGTGTGACTTGTCTTGAACAGTTTTTTTTACTAAAATATACCTAGTCATTAAAGTACTTTAAGAGTAACAAAGGGCTCTTGGGAGAAAAATTTCTGCCCCCCAGAAACAATCTGCCAGTTCTAAATAACTTGCTATTCTGCCATTCCCACAACTGTTTAGAAATCATTTACCACCATGTCATTCAAAACCAACAAAGATCCATAGCACCTGGCCCTTGCTACTC